AGGCTCTGGAGCACAGAGGTGAAGATGATCCAGGAGAGCAGCTCCAGCTGAGGTCTAGAGACAGGGCGTTCCCTCCCTGGTGGAGCCGTGGGGCCCAGTGCTGAGGCTGGCTCAGGCTCCTGTGGGTTGTCCTACCATCCTGTCTAGCCCTGGCTGTGGCCTGGCCTGACCCTGCTGTCTCCTGCCGGCCTGTGTACCTCAGTTCCCAGCCGAGCAGGGGGCCTGGGAGAGGGCCACTCCGAGCACGTCCTGACACAGCTCTGGCATCCAGTTCTCCATGTTTTTTTCTGCTTTTTAAATCTCAGTATACTTTTAAGCTTTCAGATTTTCAGGAAAACAAAAAGCATGAGGCATCTTTGACTTTGAACATGGACCGATTGTTCGGTTTTTGGTATTAAAGTGGTTTTTCCTCAAGTGACTGTGTGTGCTTTGTGTTTTACTTCATCTTGTTCTCCTTCCCTCCCTCCAGAACGTGGCACTTTGTCCGAACGTGAACACTGGTAGGGACAGACGGCGGTGGGCCAGTTAAGACTGTTTAGAAAGGGTATTGTCAGTGTCTTCTCTCACATGTGAATTCAAGGATCCTTTATTTCTTTCTCAGCTTTATTGATATGTAATTTGCCTACCATATAATTTACCCATTTAAATATATATAATTTCATGGTTTTTAGGACATTATTAGAAAATTGTGGTAAAATATATTTAACAAAAATTTGCTATTTTAATTGTTGTTAAGCATATTAATCCAGTGACATTAATTACAGTCATGCTTTTTTACAGTATAACCATCACCATTGTCTGGTTCTAAAACTTCTCATCACCCCAGATTAAGAAGTAACTCACCCCTGATTCTTCTCCCATTCAACTCTTGGTAACTCTAGTCTGCTTTCTGCTTGAAAAAGGACTGCATGTTTTAGAGATCTTGTATAAGTGGAAGTGTACAATATTTGGCCTTTTGCATCTGTCTTATTTTATTTAGCATCATGTTTTCAAGGTTAATCTATGTTGTAACATGTATTCGAATTTTTTTTTTTTTAAATTTTTTTATTTTGAGATGAAGTCTCGCTCTGTCGCCCCCAGGCTGGAGTGCAGTGGCACGATCTTGGGTCACTGCAACCTCTACCTCCCAGGTTCAAGTGACTCTTCTGCCTCAGCCTCCCGAATAGCTGGGACTACAGGTGTGTGCCACTACGCCTGGCTAATTTTTGTATTTTTAGTAGAGACAGTGTTTCACCATATTGGCCAGGCTGGTCTTGAACTCCTGACCTTGTGATTCCCCTGCCTCAGCCTCCCAGAGTGTTGGGATTACAGGCATGAGCCACTGTGTCCTGCTTAGAATTTTCTTTCTTTTAAAGGCTGAATAATATTTTGTTGTATGGACATACCATATCTTTATTTATTTTTTAAAAGGTGATGGGGTCTTACTATTTTGTCCAGGCTGGAGCGCAGTGTCTATTCACAGGCCCAGTCATAGTGCACTACAGCTTTGAACTCCTGGGCTCTAGTGACCCTCTTGCCTCAGCCTCCTGAGGGCTGTGATATCAGGCGTGCACCACTGCACCTGGCCATATTTTCTTGATTAATTCATCAGTGGCCGCTTGGGTTGTTTCCACCTTCTGGGTATTGTGAATAATGCTGCTATAGACAGGGATACAGGTACCTGCCTGAGACCCCGTTTTTTTAGTTCCTTTGGGTATATACCCAGAAGTGGAATTACTGTGTCATGTGGTAATTCTATGTTCAACTTTTTGTATGTAAAAATTAGAAGTGTTTAGCTCTTAAGTTGCATCATGCATAAATGCAGAAAAGTAGTATAGTTAAAAAATAGATCTCTCTTTTTTTTTTTTGCTTGAAAGTTCTAGGAGTCTGTTTTCCTTTTAAAGATAGACACAAAGGGCTTATCCTGGTTGCAACGGAGGAGTGATTGCAAATGGCCTTTGGAGAGATTGTGTTGGGGGGGGCGCAGGTCTCTGTGCATCAGGCACGTAGCCTGTACCGCAGCCGTTGTGCCAGGCATAGCTCCTCGCGCTGTACTGTGGCAGGAGGCGCTCAGCTACCCCCGCTGCTTCCTGTTTGTCATTTAAGATGATTCCTGGTGCTTTTTGCTGAGCGATCAAATGGTGTTCTCAGGATTTTGGGCCCTTGACACCAAGGGCTGTCTTCTTGGGGGTGTGACATGAGAGCTCCTTGTCTGCAGGGTATGAGGCTTTGGGTCTCATTGTGGACTGCGGCATGTGATGGCTTGTCACTGCTCCCCACATGGCTGTTTAGTTTCTGGAAAGCTGGAGGTATGATATTTTTGTTCTTTGCCAAAACACGCTGGTGTATACAAACAGAAGTCCCCGCATGCTAGTCAGCACTGTGCCTGTGTTTATGGTTCTGCATCTGACCGTGTGCCCCTGGGGTTGGTGTAGTGGCTGTTAGAGGCAGATGATCGACATGGCTGGGGGCTTGCTGGTGCCCTTGCTGCTGCTTTAGGGACAGCTCGAGGCAGTGGTCTCAGATACCCCTTTGGAATCCTTCTTATAAGTTTTATAAAATCTAACTCATTGCAAATAACTATTTGCCATGCTGAGTACTGTCGTTTTAAAATAAAACGATTGCATCACTCATCTAAATAAATCCAGGACATCTAGGTAGAATAATCTACCATTCTCCGTTAAAAATTTCACAGGGCTGGGCGCCGTGTGTTGCACTTGTAATCCCAGTACTTTGGGAGGCTGAGGTGGGAGGATCACTTGAGCCCAGGAAGGTCGAGGCTGCAGTGAGATATGAATGTGCCACTGCACTCCAGCCTGGGCCACAGAGCGAGACCCTGTCTAAAAAACAGTTCATAGGCAAGTTTTTCTCTCACAGAAATTTTACTCTGTTTTCTTCTCAAGCCCATATTTCCGTATACTTCTCACCCAGCATTTTACCCCAAAGTAATGTATTTCTGTGCCTAAAAATTTTTATTGATCTCTCCATCATTTATCTGCTACAAAGAAAATAACATGAATGTAAACTTCAACTTTTACATTTTGTATGATTATAAGATGCTAATTGTTTTCTTTTATACCTAAAATGGTTTCTGCTAGCCTTTATTTGAGAAAACTTGCACAAAAGTCCCCAATCCAACATTTACAAGTGAATTTGTATAAATCCCACTTGCCTTTTTCCCAAACAAACCGAAAAACAGCTTTATGACGGGGTGCCTGACAGTGGTGTAACAAAGCTCACTTAAACTGAAGATGCTGATGATTTAAAAGGTTTTCTAGATTGGGTTGTAAAAAATTATTAGTACAGAGTTGGCCAAAACAACATAAAATAGCATTTTATTGAAATTTAGCTCTTAATAAGATAGCTGTTTAGTTTACCTTTTGGTGAGTCAAGCTTTTTTTTTGAGATGGTTCTCGCTCTGCTGCCCAGGCTGGAGTGAAGTTGTATGATCTCGGCTCCTTGCAGCCTTGACCTCCTGGGCTCAAGCAGTCCTCCTGCCTCAGCCTCTCAAGTTGCTGGGACTACAGGCAAACACCACATTGCTCAGCTAGTTTTTGTATTTTTTTTGGGGATGGAGTTTCCCTATGTTGCCCAGCCTGTTCTTGAACTGCTTGACTCAAGCAGTCCTCTCACCTCAGCCTCCCAAAGTCTGGGATTACAGGTGTGTGCCACCGTGCCTGGCCAGAGCCATGCTTTTAACCAGAATAAGTCAAGGTTCTGCAACAGTACCATTTTCATTTTTACTTTTTATTTATTTATTTATTTATTTTTTTGAGAAAGAGTCTCGCTTTGTCACATAGGCTGGAGTACAGTGGTGTGATCATGGCTCACTGCAACCTCTGCCTCCCAGGCTCAAGCTACCCTCTAGTCTCAGCCTCCCCAGTAGTTGGGACTACAGGCATGTGTTCCTACATGTGACTGATTTTTTATTTGTAGTCGAGATGGGGTTTTGCCATGTTGCCCAGGTTGGTGTCAAACTCCTGACTTCAAGCAGTCCACCCTCTTTGTCCTCTCAGTGTGCAAGGATTACAGGTGTTAGCCACCATGCCCAGCCCCTATTTTTAGTTTTAGTTTTAAGTGCTAAGAAGTCTTACAAGTAAGTAGCTAGGAATTGCAGAAATTTTGCTTTAGCAATGCTGGTGTTTCAACTTTTTCCAAGCTTGCACCCTGCCTCTGTGCTCCGTCACTGAGCAGCTTCAGTGGGGCGGCTTCAGTCCCATGAAAGTGACACGTTGACAGCCATCTGAATTGAGGAGGCATTTCCCAGTTGCGGGAGCAGTTCCCATCATCAGCACCCGCTGCTTGGTGTCCATTGTGTTGGGTGAGAGGTTGCCTCTCTTGAAAAGTGAGAGAAAGGACAGTTTTGAGAGGAGACCGGGGGGATGGAGCAATCCCTTCTCAAGCAGAGCTGTAGGGGCTGAGGCTCCAGAAGCCTAGCCTACGCTCAGAAAGCACTCTGAAGCCTGAGGATCCTACGGATGGCCTTTGAGTAGCCCCGGTGTGCTTGCTGATGCCTGTCCTTGATCATTAATTTATACTCGTGTGCACACTTGCATGCTCACACATGCACAGATGCAGAAGTGCATACCCCCACATGTGTACACATGTACACTGACACGTGTACACCCATACAATTGAGTGTGCAAACACCCACAGATAGGCACATGCACATGCCCACACAAATTGAATGTGCACACACCCACAGATAAGCTCCCCCACACTTGCAGATAGCATGTGCACACCCACAAATGTGCACACCTGCAGATGTGCACATGCACACACCCACACAATAGATTGCACACACGCCTAGATATGCACACCCACATGATAGATTATGCACACGTGCGCCTGCAGATGTGCACATGCGCACACCCACACAATGGAATGCACATATGTGCCCGCTATTGTACACACACACCCATGCGATTGCATGCGCGCACATGAGCCTGCAGGTATGCCCTTTTCACAGGCCAATTGTCGCCTTAGCGGTCTTTTTCATGGAGTATTATGGCAAAATATTCTAAAGGGTAACAGATTTATGTTTATCTTCATTTTATGTGTCCTTAAGGGTTCATATGAGTTTATTCGAAAATTAGCAACATACACATCATTTGGGGCATGGAAAATGAGGCAGAGTAAGCCAGAACATTCACTGTAACATTATAAGCAAGTAGAATAAATTGATAATACCGTCACCAGTAATATGCTTTCCCTAGTGGAAATAAATTATTTGTATAAATAGCCTTGTGATGTTTGTGTGTTATTTAGTTATAACAAATCACATTTTTTAATATACGGCACTTTCATGCTAGCACTGAAAATGTTTTTTCTGACCTTTTTTTCAGTAATCGTCATTTACTTCAAATATTCAGCTAGAGCTAATAGAAAAACAGTTAAAACCATTTGTTCTAATGCTAAGATATTTATAAGGAAACATTTACAGAAGATCTTCTGTAAGATGACTTGCTTACACTTCAAAGTACTTATCAGTCTTACAGTCATTCAGATGTTTTTACAACCAAAAGTAGAAGCACCTTTTAATGTTCATGCTTAATATTTATTAAAACAACTGAATTGAGGGATTGTTTTTGTTTTTATTTTTTTTGAGAAGGAGGAGGAAGCTGCATTTGTAAAAATGTGGAAGTGCCAGTTCAGATGTGGTGCTATGCACCGCTGTGGAAGGCTTGGTGTGGCCATGGCTCTGAGCACGTGTGTGAGCCCGGCGTTAGGACACCCGGGCCCTCCTCCGCAGCGTGAACACTCTTGCCGTGTCCTGCAGCTTTGCCTTCTTAGCTCCTTGCTGGGATTTTCCAGCATCTCTTTGACTTGTCCTCTTTTGTCCTTTGGGTCTGAGGTCACACTGGGCCTCTTGGCTCTCCATGGAGCTGAGTGTGGGTGTGTCTTGCTGGCAGGCAGGTTCTGGTGCCGCAGTGTCCCCGTCGCCCACCTGGACGTTCCCAGGGCTGTAGGCTGCCAGCTGGCACAGGGCCACGGCCGCCGTCTGCTTCTGCTCCTCGCTGCTGTCCACCGTGCATGTGACTGTGGCCTCCTCGGCAGGGCCTGTGAGTGGGGCCTTGTCACCGTCGAGGCTTTCTGGCCTGGTCTCAGGGTGGTCAGGCCCATCCTCAGAACCTTCTGTCCCAGTCTTCTGTGGAGCAGCAGCAGCAGCACCTGGTTCTGCAGCTTGTGGTCGACTGGGGAAGGGTGGCTTCGGGGCCTGGGTGTTACACAGGTCCTTCACCGAGAGATTGAGAGGAAGGTCCTGCAGCTCGGAGAAGTTGGTGGTTTCTGCCTGGGGGCTGCCTTGGTACATGAGTTTGTGGGTGGCTGCCGGCTTCATCTCTGATTTCTTGGAGAGGTTGAGAGGGCCCATCCTGGAGCTGTCCTCTGGACTGGAAGGTGCGGCCTCCAAGACGAGAGAGGTGCTTCCTGTCTGAGTGGGAGACTCTCCATTCATGGTATTGAGGCTAGAAGAAGCCAAGAGAAAACTTAGTAGGAGCTTGCTTAGAAAAGCAATTGTGTGAAGCAGTTTGAGCAAGTGTAAACCTGGCTCATGGAACCCAACCAGAAACATTCCCCTGGAGGTTTTAAACATGACAGTCTCTTACCTTATTGGAGACTTTGCTCTGGTCTCAGGAGCCTCGGCATGTAGGCAGTCCTTGCTTTTCTTGACAGGCTTAAAGGCTGTGAGGCTTTGCTCTGGCAGGCAGAGTCTTCCCAGCGCAGTGGAGGCTGCCTTGTTGGAGAGGTCGCACAGGCCTTCACAGGTCTGGCTCGTCTGCGTGAAGTTGGTGGGGCTTGGCCTCCCTGGGGAGCCTGTGGCTGCGCTCCCTGCGCGGGGGCTCATTTTGGACCCTTCTGTGTCCCTCTGCCCAGCCTTGGAGGAATCTTTCGCCTCAGGAATTGGACTTTCAAACTCGATGTGTTTTCTGTTGGGGTCTGAAGGGTTTAGCTTGAAAGGACTTGAGGCTGGATAGACCAGGGTGGCTTCTTCAAGCAGGTGAGAGCTGTGATCTCGGGTGAGGCCAGTGACGGGCGGGAGTCTGAGAGCATAGGAGGAAAACGCAGACTCTGGCCTGTAAAATCCATAAGGAAGTGGCAGATTAGAGTGATACTGCTGGAAAAACCTATAATGATCGTATGTTGGTGGAGTTGGAGTGAGGTGCTTGGGGACTGGCCCCGGGTGAGGCAGGAAGTGTCTCGGGTCCTGGGCTCCATAGACCGACAGCAGGGGTGCATCACACTCCGGCGAGCTCCCAGCCAGCAGGTAAGGTGAGTAGATGGTGGCCAGCCCATGCTCTGTGTAAAAGTGGGGTGGGTACTCTGGGATCGTGGGGTGCATGTAAGGAGAAATGGTTCCAAGCCCCTTTGTAGATGAGATTTTATGTGGAAACTCTGGCGGGAGGAAAGGTGGGCTGGCTTTCCAGGGGTAGCCAGGAGCATGGAAGGCAGACTTGGTGTGGAAGGGGGTGCCCTTGGCCGCGGGATTGGGTAAAGCCAGGGTCTCGGGTGCCTCGGCGTTGTCTGGCCCTTTGAGTCTGTGCTCGCCGACTGGAACAAATGCAGAAGGCCGAGCTGTGCTTTCCAGAGCAGGCTGGGCGCCGAGGGCGGCTTCCGGAGCTGGGCTTCCACATGCCGATTCCCGGTGGAGGGCTGGCTTCTGTCCCGGGCACCTTTGGGTTTCCCGGGCCTGCAGCTCCAGGTTTTCCTTAATGTCTTCCCTGGCAGAGCTGTGCTGAAGCTTCAAGTCGAAGGTGGAGAGTCCGTTTGTGACAGACTTGGAAGAGGCTGGCTTTGCTGTGGCATCAGGCTGGTTGGTTTGCTTAGGGTCTAGCGAGTTAGATTTAGGGCACTTGGGAACTCGATCCTGCTCTGATACTAAAGTAATGGAGTTTTTACAGAGACCGTACTTCATGTGATTGAAAAGATGTGACTTCTCGTTGCAAGTGAAGGGACACTGGAAGCATTTATACTTGAAGGGCTTTCCTGGAGGCCGTGGGATGTAATGTGGCTTTTTTGGCTTCCGCTCTTTGAGAAGACTCATTTTCCTCCTTATGCCTCAGACTCTGAGCGTCTCGGTGGCGTGGTCACTGCCGATGCCTCGTGGACTTTGTGGTTTTTGAAGAGGCACCTCCCTCCTGCTTTCCTTTCTTTTCCAAGCACGTCTATCGGAAGCCAGCTCTCTGTGCCGAGGGCCTAGCAAGAGCCTCCGTCATCTAGGAGCTGCAACAAAGAACAGACCTTGGCGTCAGGGTGGCGGGTGAGAGGTTGGCCAGAAGCTGGCCTCAGCTCGCCCCTGTGCGGCAGATCCCTGAAGCAGAGCCTCCAAAGAGCTGAGACCACCTGCTCCTGAGGGGAGCGGCTGCCAGTCACAGAAGCAGCCCTGCCTTGGTAACCCGGCTGCCACCTTCCCACCATGTTTTCTGTTTTCTGAGCCTGACCTGAAAGAGTTGCCTTGGGCCCTAGAGGTGGAGTGTGGTATGTGTCCATTCTGAGAATGCCTGTAAGCCTTTGAATTTTGGGAACTCTTATCCTGTGACCTGGACCTTTACTTGAGGGTACCCTCTGGGGACTGAGGTCGCTGAGCCCCCTTCTAGGGTCTGGAGAGCATCCTGTCCCAGTGCTGCCCGACTCTGCTCCAGGGGTCACATGCTTGAAACAGTGGCAATGTGATCGGCCATACTGTCATGTTAAATGCAAAGAGGTTTGGGGCCATTTCCCCTTGACATGCACCCCGTAGTCGCAGAGTGCTCCCTCACTTTTGCACAGGGTGTGGGCCAGCCACCATCTGCCTGCCTCTGCTCGCCTAAGTGCCCTGCTGTTGGTCTGCGGAGCCCGAGACCAGGGGCGCTCCTTGCCTCTCTTGGGGCTGATCCCTAAGCACTTAAGCAGTTCTGCCCTCTTCAGCAATGCTGTTGGTGTATTCTACTTGTGGTTATTTTAAAATGAAGAACATTGGAACACAGGACTCCACCCTGTTGCTTCTAAAGTCGGCTTTGTCATTAAGCACCATTTAGGCCTCAGATGTGAATATAAATGCTATATTTGTGTTGACTTAAATGGTTGAAATACTGTCGGGGTGAATTTATACATCCTGTGAGTGACACTGGCATTGTGGGATGTGCTTTCAGGGTCACCCCATTCCTGCTGGCCAGGAGGCGTGACCAGCAGCCCCTGCCCATCCAGCTGCACCTCCAAATGGCAGAACCAAAGCTTTGCCATACTTGTGCCTGAGAGGAGACTAGAGTGAACAGTGTCTCCTTTAGAGTTGGTTGGTCATGGGAGGAAGCTGTCCTGTCCTTTAACCTTTAGGGAGTGGGTCCAGCTCTCTGGCCACACCCACTCAGGTCCTGGGACTGCGGGTCCCAGGGACTCAGGACTGGGGCTGTGTCTGTGATGTCAGGGCTGGCCTGCCCTTCTGGATTCTTCCAGAGGGTCTCTGTGTCTCCCTTCCCCCACCAGGTTTCCTTCAGAGGCTTCGCTGCCGGGGCGCTCACTCCACCTCCTAAGCCAAGGTCGAGAACAAAGGCTTTGAGAGTCGGGTTCTCCATGTGGTGGCAGGGCCTGGAGTCACCCAAGCAGCAGCTGTGTCTGGGAGATAGCGTGGGGGCATGGGGTGGAGGTACAGTGGGTCAGGGCTGAGCACTTTAATTTCTATTACAAATGTAAAAAGGTCTTTAGTATCTAGATGTTTTGAAACAGCTTAAAGTTAAATGACCCAAATGCCTATCAATGGTAGATTGGATAAAGAAAATGTGGTGCATATACACCATGGAATACTGTGCTGCCATTAAAAAGAATGAGATCATGTCCTTTCCAGGATTGAAGCTGGAAGCCATTGTCCTCAGCAAACTAATGCAGGGACAGAAAACCAAACATGCATGTATTCACTCATAAGTAAGTGGGAGCTGAACAGTGAGAACACATGGACACAGGGAAGGGAACATCACATATCAGGGCCTGTCTGGGGATGGGGGATGAGGGAGGGAGAGCATTAGGACAAATAGCTAATGCATGTAGTCTTAAAACCTAAATGATGGGTTGATAGGTGCAGCAGAACACCATGGCACATGTGTGCCTATGTAATAGACCTACACGTTTTGCACTCGTGTTCGGGAAGTTAAAGTATAATTAAGATAACATAAAAATAAAGTTAAATGAAGGGCTAGGTGTGAGGGCTCACGCCTGACACCCCACATGTTGGGAGACTGAGTTGGGAGGATCCCTTGAGCCCAGGAGGTCGAGGCTGCAGGGAGTAGTGATCATGCCATTGCTCTCCAGCCTGGGCGCAGTGAGACTCTGCCTCAGAAAACAGCTAGATGGAAATGATTTAATAAACAGTTTCAACTGTAGGTTTGTTGTAAGGAATGGGCAGATGTGCCCAGTCTTGAGTCTGTGAGGTTTGTATAGACATCAGGGTGGTTAAAAGTCAAATGAAAAGCCACCCCTTGAATAGAGCCGTGTGTGCGTGGGTGTGTGCATGCACCCAGGAGTCAGCCGTCCCAGAAGCGAGGGACCCCCCTCCTCCTACCTGCACCCCTGTGTCCTTCCTCTCACATGCCAGGGCAGGACTGGAGGCTGGGCTTCCATATGGCCACCCGGAACTCTAGGGAAGTGCTCTGATTTTATTCTCAGCAAACTGGTTTCTATACTCATTTATTCACATTTCTTAAAAACACACAGAACCACCCTTCCCCCTACAAATTGCCTCTATTAACATACTTTAAGTTCTTTAAGACATTGATTTACTAAGAAGGGGCTCTGCTGACCTGCCGCCTTCGCTGTGATGAGAGTTTCTGTGTAGCAGGGACAGTGCGGCAGGGGTTTGGATGAGGACTTGATGTTTGTTACCCCGTAACCAAACCAGGGAGGGTGTCAGGTGACACCCTGGGGCTCAGCCTTCTGCTCAGCCCCCTGCTCAGCCCTCTCTCCCGTGGGCTGCCAGGGAAGCTACCAGGCCCCAGGTGAAAGCCAAGGAAATTAAACCCATCATGATAGCTTTCTCTTTCTAATTTCCCCTGTCAGAAGAAAGAACGTGAAACAATTCTTTATGGGCTCAGTCCCTACCTTATGGGGCAGACTTGCCCCAGGTGAAAAGCAGCTTCCCTGCCTCCCTTCAGGAAGCAGAGAAACCGGTGCCTGGTTCCAGCCAAGCACTGGCCTGGCAGATCAGTGGGGCCTGTGCAGGCACGTCTCGCTGAGTTCCCTGGTTCTGAAGGCGTGAGAACCTCTGCAAGTCAGGTTCCCATGATTGTATAGGATATGTTATGGCAGGGATCTGAAAACTGATGATTTCATCACTAGCTAGAAGCATCATGATCAAAACGATGACAGTTGCAAAACGTTCATGAAGTGAGAGCTGCGTCCTCGCGATACTGGGGCCATAGAAACGCCACCTCTAGTGCCTGAAACAAGCCAGAGGAGCAGATGATCCCCTCAGGATTTAAGAAAACGAGGAATTTAGTTTCTGAAGCAGTGTTATTTCACATTCAGGCAAAAACAAACAAACAAAAAAAAACACCCAAGAAAAAAAAAAACCCCTGTGTTGGTTAGATTTTTCTCAAAAGCTTTACAGGAGGCAAGTTACCTGTAAGTTATGCTGTTGCCCCGAATAGTAATTAGGAAAATAATTGCTTTTAAATTAATATGTACTTTTTTTAGTCAGATAGAATTATCTGAAGTTTTGAACGATTTTCTCTTTTGTTCTTTGATCAATTAGTTGACGTGTGCAGACGTCGCATGGTGGGGAGGAAGCCTCTGGTAGGTGAGAGCGTTTCAGAGTTTCATGGCTCGAAGGGAATGTGTATAAAGCAGAGTCTCGGCAGTAGTTTTACTAACCTTGGATAAACTGACCTTTCAGGCTTGCACAATTTGCTAATTAAAGCAAGGGAGCACAGCTGTTTCAGAGGTAAGCCGGGCGGAGTTCACCTGATCTATAAAACTGCAATCGTGTCAGGGAGGTAAGTGGGGTAAAATTGTTGCTTTTGTAAGCTTTCAAATGATGATGATGTCAGCCTGGGATTTCTGTGTCCTGCTTCAGTGAGGCTTATAAGGATGAAGAAACCAGACCCCGCAACCAGGACCTCAGGTGGTCACATCTGTCTGTGGGCACAAAGTTTGACATAGTCTCTGTTCGGTCAGTTTCTCCAGCCTGACATGGTGCTCTGGCAGCTGCTGGTGTTTAATATTCCCGGAAGGGTATAGTGTTGCCCAAACAGTGTAACCCAGAACTTTGTATTTGCATTTAGAGGTACTGTTTTTCTCTAAAGGTGATAGAGAAGCTCTGGACATCTTCCTCTCCTCAGGGAGGCGCCTTTCTATTTTAGTTAATTAATAAAAGCAGAGTCTCCTTCATTATTTGGCTTTCATTTGAGAACTGCAGTGCTAGTGTGGTTTACAGCTAAGACCTCAGTGTGGTCCTGAAGGAGGGGCTCATCCTTGCCTTATTTCCCACTGTGTCGGCAGGAAGCATTAGCAGGGTGGACATTCCATTCCACAGAACTTCCAGATCTGGATCAAAGGTGGCTGTTACTGAAATACTCATGCACAGAGTCTTCCCTGCCTGCTGCTGGCTAATGTGTGCTCGCCTCCAGCACACCTCCTCTGAGCCCAGCCTGGTGCAAAGCCTTCTTTCTTCAAATTATTTCAGACCAGGCAGCCAGTGTAGACAGTGTCTACCCTAAAGGCCATAAGAACAGTGGGGTGCAGTGGCTTAAAACATGCTCAGGATCCAGCTGAGCTTTCACCAAGATTTTTTTGCTACATTTACAGATGCCACTCTGCCTTTCTAAGCATTTTAAATGTCGTGGGGAAGTACGCTGAGCCGAGGGTTTACTTCTCTTCCTGCTCGGCATGCACTGGGCTGGGTGCTGGGTGTAGCTGCCCACACAGACACTGCTTTGAGACTGAGTGGTTTCGGTTGGCCACCAGGTTGTGTCTGTCTGGTTTTTAAAGCACTGTCTCTCCAAAGCTTCCTAAGTTTGGACAGTCAGTGCAGTTGCCAGTTTTAGGGTAATAGTGAGTGGTTTGTGTGCTAAACGAGTTTCTAAGGAGTTTGAACTTTGAAAAATAGGTAAGAGAAAGAGTTTTTAAAAATAAAAAAAACTTTGATAGGACACAGTGGAGGTAATTATAGTTTAACTCGCTAGGACATTTCTGTGGCCAGCTGGGTAACTATGCTTGTCATGTGTCCTAACCCGTGCCCCGAGACTGTGCTGTAATGCTCCTTCTGCTGGTGTCCAGCTGTCTGGCAAGGAGCCTCCTCGGCTGGAGTATTGTGAAGGGCATGCTGTAATTACAATATTGTGATGTGGCGTTGTTGCATAACTCAAGGACACGCCATTGTCGCCTACACACTGGGATGTCGCAAGAACGAGATTTGTGAGTTTTACTCCAATTGAGCTTTTCCAGCAGTTGGCCGCCACTCCCTCCCTGCCTTTCGGTTCTTTAACATTAAGGGTAAGACCTCAGGACAACCGTGACCTGGGGAAAAGACGGTCTGATTTGGAAGGATGGATCCAGAAAAACAAGCACGGGCTCTTGTTCTAGTTTCGGCAGGAGATCCGAGTCACAGACCTGAGCTTGTAAACGAACGCACACCACTTCACAGCTGCCGCCTCGGGTCAGAAATGCTGGAAGGCCTTTGCTAATGCGCAGTGAAAATTAGGGTAGCAAATATGGATGGATTATGCTTGGTCAAGAATTGTTCTCCTCCCAGTCAGATTATGAAAAATTTCATATAAGGAAACAGACCTTTTTGTGTCTGTGTATATATGTACATAAGAACCTTCACAACCAAACACAAACTTCGCCCCTTCTGTTTGGTTTTGTTTTTGTAAGCTTATGTCCAGTTTTAAAATTTACATAAGCTGAAGTCCTTATTTTAAACTTTAAAAGTTTTAAAAGTTAAACTGGACGTTAAATTCGGTCCTGTCTAATGTATTTAGGGTTGTATGTCTACACCACACATACAACCCTAAATTCAACTGTCTAATGTACATACACCTTACACATATAACCCCAAATTCAGCCCTAATGTACATACACCACACACATATATAATCCTAAATTCACCTTAGTGTACACCATACACATAGAACCCTAAATCAGCCCCATCTAATGCACATACACCACACATAGGACCCTAAATTCAGCCCTAACGTACATACACCACACACGTATTTCACCCTAAGTTTACCCTAATATAAAACACCACACACATAGAACCCTAAATTCCCCCTAATTTATATACATCACACACATAGAACCCTAAATTCACCCTAATGTACATATACCACACATATAGAACCCTAAATTCTCCTTAATTTACATATATCACATACATAGAACCCTAAATTCACCCTAATGTACATATACCACACACATAGAACCCTGAATTCAGCTCTGTCTAATGTACATACACCACACACATATATCCCTTTAGATTCAGCTCTGTGTAATGTACATACACTACACACACATATATATGACCCTTACCTCTTGGTGGCATTTACTGTAGTTTGTTTTTGAGGTTAGGAACAGTTAAGCAATAATACGAATTTGTGTTGGTTTAACTTTTATGAATTTTAGGGCAGAACAAGGAGTTGATTTCTGGATAAGCTTGCTCATGTTCTTAGAATAAAGTATTGGCCTCATTATAAGTTTTGTAATCGTGGTCTGCATCCCAGCCGTGCACCTGCTGGATCCTGAGTAATCCTCGGAGCCCAGAGCAAGGCAGAGCAGACATGGGCAAATGCTGCATTCAGCTAGGTATTTTAGATATGCCTGAGAAGAGTTTTAAAATAAAACTTGACTTTGAAAAGAAATAGTACTTACCAGAGGTGGGCAGTACTGGGATGTGGCCGGGTCTGGGTGCCAGTGGCTGGAGGTGCTCAGGAAGCAGTACTTGTTCTCACGCTTGCTTGGTGAAACTGGAGCCGGCTGTTCCAGTGGGAGGGATTTAAGTGTAGGAGTTGAGCCCTCAGGGCGTAGAGATGCACCTGATATTCCTCCTGCCCGCAGCTACGATTCATGTGTTTGCACCCACCGAGCTGCTGCGGGCAGCCTCCCCAGCCCCGGACCCTGCAAGCGAGTATCTCGCAGGCTCTGCTGCTGTCTATGAGTGCGGTTTCGGTGCTGCTTGGATGGCCACAGGTCGGGGGCTTTACATGTGTCCACAGTGACAATATAGATGACTCTACTCATCACACACAATGAATATTTGGTGTGACGATAAAGACATGTGAGACTTTTCTTTAGAACTCGAGCATGTGTAGGCAGCAGGTGCCGCATTCATGGTGTCCTTGCCATGAAGGGTCCAGTGAGGCCTGGAGGGTCTGTGTGCCTTCCACCCTCTACCCAGTTCCTGAGAGCCTCTGTCCCTGGTCCTCCTTGGGAGCCGAGCCGGCAGGGAGGCAGCTTACCCCAGCGCCTGGCTGCAGGGACCTGCCGGAGCTTGCCCGTCCCCAGGCACCGCAAGGGCTGCAGCAAGGGCTGCGGTGCAGGGTGTGCGCAGGCGGGGGAGGGAGCCGGCTGTGTACTCCCACAAGCCACCCCCCAACTTTAAATTGCAGATGCGCTTAATTTTGGGGCCAGCTTTTTTTTGGGGAGGCCAGCTTTTACCTCTACTTCCCACCACCCCAAACTGCTTGCTTGCTTATTTAATCCAAGGCTGTCACCCCAGCTTTAGTGAAAGTGGGAATGTGGTGTCAGTTTGGGGACTGGGGAAGCAGATGGGATGAGCTGGTGGCTGGCTCGTGGTGGAGCCTGAGGCTGCGGGGCAGAAGCTGCGGTGCTGTGGCGTAGGGACAAGCTGGCCAGGACAGACGTGCTGTTTTTTTGTTTTTGTTTTTAATTTTTTTCCTTAAGACTGAAGATTTTACGTGGCTTTGCTTTGACGTTCATGCTTAATAGCTTTTTGTTTTTTGAGACAGGGTCTCTGTCACCCAAACTGGAAAGCAGTGGCGAGATCATGGTTCACTATAGCCTCAGCCTCCTGGACTCAATCGATCCTCCCGCCTCAGCCTCCCCAGTAGCTGGGACTACAGGCACAGTCACCGCGCCTGGCAAATTTTGTGTAGAGATGGGTTTTGCCATGTTTCCCAGGATCTGTTAATCCACTAAGATGTTTTTTTGGTGACTTTTGTCCAAATGAGACATCCACATACTTTATGAAGAGTTATGTAAGTCTCATCACAAGAAACAGCAGGTCCCTGTCCCTCTTACCTATTGCTGGATGGCTTAAAACGAGCACCATTTTATTCTGTCTCAGGATATTTGTCAGGAGTTTGGGCAGGGCCTGGCTGAGTGCTGCTTCTGTTCATGCACACCGACAGGGCTGGCCTAGGGGGAGAAAGCGGCCAGGTGACTGGTCTGGAGGGTCTAGGACAGCTTCATTCACCTGCCTCGTGTCCTGGAGGGGGCAGCTGGAAGCCTGAGATCATCCTCCACTTAGCACTTCAGAGGCCTCCTAGGAGGGTGGTCAGCTGTGTGGTGGCTCAGAATGTCAGAGAGCAAGGTGAAAGGTTCCAGTCCTCCAGAAGGCTGGGCTGCAGATTATCAGTGTCCCTTCTGGTCCCTTCTGTCACCTTTCTAATTTTGGTTTCCTCGAGTTCTGTTTTGTTCTGAGTGTTCCTTTTATAGCATCCCCTTCACATGTGGTAGGTACAGTGATACCTTATCTGAGGATTTCAGTGATAGCTTTCTTTTAGTGGCGGGGTGGAGGAATAGGGGTGGGTGTTCTCCCTGTGTATTTTTTTTTTTTTGAGACCTGGGGTCCCAGGCTGGACGAACTCCTGGTCTTAAGCACTCCTCCTGCCTCAGCCTCCCGGGTGGCCGTGACTGCAGTAGCGAAGCACCATGCCTGGTGCCCTCCCTGCATCCTCAGTGTGGCTTCCTGGCCTCCAGGGCCTCTGCTGAGCACCTCAGACAGTCAGCCTGTCTCCTGCATGGGAGGGAGGGCTGCTCCAGTGCTCCCTGGGTTAGGCCCACCCTGCCCCCACCCCCAGAGTTCTCTGGAGCCACAGACCTGGAGCTTTTTAGGGACTTGTCCCATGGGTGAGGGAGGGTCTGGGTTTCCTCCCTCTGGCGGGGCACTGGGCTTCTTGGGTCTGAGGCGTTTTCTGCTGTCCCTGCTCCTCCAGGTTCCTCCGTGGTCCTGGTGCTGTGGAGTCCCCCCACAACACTATGCACCTGGCCTGCGGAGTCCCCCCAACACCACAAACCTGTCCTGCAGAGTCCCCCCCGCCCCACATCACGAACCTGGTCTGTGGATTCCCCCCCCCATCACGAACCTGGCCTGTGGAGTCCCCTCCCCACTAACCTGGCCTGCAGAATCCCCCCCACACCACGCACCTGGCCTTCGGAGTCCCCCCACCCATGAACCTGGCCTGCGGAGTCCCCCCACCAACACCACGCATCTGGCCTGCCGAGTCCCCCCCACACCACGCACCTGGCTTGCAGAGTCCCCCTTAACATCACATACCTGGCCTGTGGCGTCCCCCCCCACACCACGAACCTGGCCTGCAGAGTCCCCCCCACACCATGAACCTGGCCTGCGGAGTCCCCCCCCCACACCATGAACCTGGCCTGCGGAGTCCACCCCCACACCACGAAACTGGCCTGCGAAGTACCCCCCAATACCATGCACCTGGCCTGCGGAGTCCCCCCCACACCACGCACCTGGCTTGCAGAGTCCCCCCCAACATCACGCACCTGGCCTGCGGAGCCCCCCTGCCCACACCACACATCTGGCCTGCGGAGTCCCTCCCCCATATGACATACCTGGCCTGTGGAGTCCCCCCCATACCACGCACCTGCCCTGCGGAGCCCCCCCCACTACACTCCTGGTCTGTGGAGTCCCCCCCACCATACACCTGGCCTGCAGAGTCCTCCCCCAACATCACGCACCTGGCCTGTGGATCCCCCCGCCTCACCCAACACTACTCACCTGGCCTGTGGATTCCCTTCCAACCCAGCCCAGAGGCCGATGAGCAGAATTATACCAGATTTGGGGGGTGCCTCCCTGCAGGGGCAGCCCCTCAGTGGGGAGGGAGGGGCACCTGGGGTGATGGCTGCTCTTTGGGGGTAGTGCTGGTGCCAGTGTGTGTTGGGGGGGTTGCCAGGGACGCAGGCAGGTGCCAGTGCTGCAGCCTCTGTGTCAGTGCCTCTCTCCCTAGGAGCATGCAGGCCTGGATGTCCAGTCCCAGGTGAGCTTTCCTACTTCTTAGTTGTAGGGTGAGGCATATGATGTGGTCAACTCGGCCCCTTCCTCTCCATCCTGCCCATTTCTCCCTGGCCCTTTTCTCTCTGTCCAGTCCAGCTTGATCCCTTCCTCTCTGTCCTGGCCATCCTGCCCCGGCCCCTTCCTCTCCGTCCCAGCCCCTTCCTTCTTCTCTGTCCCGTCCAGCTTGGCCCCTTCCTCTTTGTCCTGGCCATCCTGCCCTGGCCCCTTCCTCTCTGTCCCGTCCAGCTCGGCCCCTTCCTCTCTGTCCTGGCCATCCTGCCCTGGCCCCTTCCTCTCCGTCTCGGGCATCCCACCCCAGCCCCTTCCTTCCTCTCTGTCCCGTCCAGCTCGGCCCCTTCCTCTCTGTCCCATCTAGTTTGGGCTCTTCCTCTCCATCCCAGCCATCCCACCCCAGCCCCTTCCTTCCTCTCTGTCCCATCCAGCTCGGCCCCTTCCTCTCTGTCCTGGCCATCCTGCCATGGCCCCGTCCTCTCCATCCCGGCCATCCCGCCCCAGCCCCTTCCTTCCTCTCTGTCCTGTCCAGCTTGGCCCCTTCCTCTCTGTCCTGGCCATCCTGCCCCGGCCCCTTCGCAGCGTCGTCCTCTTGAGTGTGCTGTGTGCTGGGACTCCAGTCTTGGCTCTGCTGTCTTTGCCCTCTGTGACTTGAGGCAGCAGTTACCGACCTCCCTGGGCTTTAGTCTTCCTGATTGTGAAAGGGGCTTGTGAGTGCTGGTGTCTCTGCAGGGGGAGGGAAATGTGTCTTTCACGGAACACCTGTGGTGAGGGAAGGGCGTCACATCTTTGACCTTCTTGAAATACAAGATTGTTTTTGTTTTAATCTTTTGTGTTCCTTGTGGGGTGCTGCACCCAGAGGAAAGGAGAAAGGAAATGAAAACTCTGTAGAAAATCCAGAGGCCTGGCTTCAGCCTCCCAGGCTGGTAGCCATGGCTGTAGGGGAGACGCAGCAACATCCTGTCTCCCGGCGCACGGCTTCAGGGACAGCTTGGGGTGGAGGGCACCCACACCTGGCTGTGTCTCAGGGCTCTGCCCTCCTCAAGGGACTCAGCCTGGTGGGTGGGACTGTGGGATGGGACCAGGGGGCTTAGTGGGTGAGGGTGGTGGGCAGGCTTCGGCTTCCTTTCCCAGTGGGATTCTTGATCCTGGGGCAGGACTGTGGGATCGGACTAGGGAACTTAGGGGGTGAGGGTGGGGGGCAGGCTCCAGCTTCCCTTCTCAGTGGGATTCTTGATCCTGGGGCCAGAGCACCCCAGGTCTGTCTGTGAGCACATGTTAGGAGGGAACAGAAGGCAGAGGAACCCGCACAGGCCTGTTCTGTCTCCTGCACTCCCTGAACTGCTCCAGCTCTTCAGGGTTTTTGAGTACTTGCCCTTCCCCTTCCTTTGGAACATGTTTTTTAGGGTTTCTTGGTTGTCATTCATTCTGGTTGGAATTCCCATAGCGAGAGACCATCTTGGTTTTGCACCGGCTGGGGGCTGCCAGGCGCCTGTGCTGCTGAGCGTGCCTCCCTCCATGTGCTGCATCCAGTACGCTGCTTCTCTCGTCCAGCCCTCTGCTGCCTGCTGTTCTCTTTGGGGTTTCCATGGTTTCCCCTTCCTCTTCCTGTCCTGGTTTTCTTCCCTGGTGTGGGGGGCCTCCCTGCTGCGGCCTCCACCCTCCGTCCTGGTGGTAGTGAGACTCGCTGAAGCCCAGAGGAGGTCCGGAGACTGTCGGAGACTTTTGTATGGTGCTGCACACCATCGCTGGCTTGGGTTAGGGCCCCAGGCCCTGCCTTTGGGTTGCCTGGAGGCTGCTGGCCAGGCCTGGACACCTCCCTGCCCCCATGGCCTCCGAGCCACAACCTGGGAGCAGGTCCTGGCCCTTCCCCTGTGTTGTATGGTCACCTGCCTGAGAGCCTCTGCGGGCCCCTGTGTTTTCGGAAGTCGATTTAACTGAACGGAGCGTAGCTGAGTAGGATCTGCCTTCTTCCCCACCCACCCTTATTGCCTGGGACTGCCTGTCCAGGAGTAGGGCTTCGGGTGTCTGGTCTCTGGGCCATACGCTAACAAGGCCAAGCCTAGCAGCCCCCAGGGTCCTCAACCGCCATGGGCCTGTGCTCATGGCTGAGATCTGGGCCAACCTGCTCTGGGCACTGTGGGCGCTGCTTAGCCGTCTTCTGCAGGTGGCTGAAGA